TATATATATATATATATATATATATGCACCGTTGTGTCTTAGTCTGACTCATTGGTTGCGGCATTTGTTGCAAGTCCTTTGGGTCGAAAGTTTGATCCCTGCGTATAATCGAATTGCAAATCTTCAAGAACGAGGGCCCGCCCCTCGGTCAAACTATGGGTTTGATCGGCGATCAACCTTATATATATATATATATCGGGCATCTGCTTATCAGTTTTAAGTCCCCTCTGGTGTGGGGTTCAATTCTCCCTCAGTGCATGATGTGGTACTCAAATTCTTGGGCGCACGAGGGATGGTCGGGGCTCGTATAATAGCCTCCGGTCATTCCTTTGATATATATATATATATATATATATTTGTGCGTCTAAATATATGTAGCAAATAGACATTTTTTGATAAAAAAATTATTATCGATGAACTAAAAATTTCAATCTCGAATATATATATTATGTTCCTTAAATTCCATAAAGTTGTATCAGAAATCAATCAGTAACAGTACTAACTTCCATGATTGATATCTTAGGTTGGTGACAGACATCCCTGAAACTACAACTACAAGTTTTGGTGAGTGATAGCTTACTGTGTAACAAATTACACCCACAAATGAATTCATTTGTCAAATATATCCATTTTCTGTTAAAAGATAGAGTACAGAAGCTGCAGCTCACCTTCGATCATGCATATAATTTCAGGAAATGAAGTGGTCTCCTATGAAAGCCCGAATCCAACGGCTGGGATCCATCGAATAGTATTCATATTGTTTAGGCAATCTGTCCAGCAAACTATCTACGCACCTGGATGGCGTCAGAACTTCAATACCAGAGACTTCGCACAGTTTTACAACCTCGGCTCGCCGGTGGCTGCCACGTACTTTAACTGCCAGAGGGAAAATGGCTGTGGAGGCAGAAGGTATAAGAACATATATGGATGACTTTTAATATGGTCATAAAATCAACAAATAAATACGAACTTTGTTGCTACAAGGGTGTTGTTACTAAGCATTACTTGCAGCATGATAATATTTACACATTACTAACGAGTGGTTTATTCAGATTAATTAATTGGCATCAATACAAATTTTCCTATGCTTTATTTCCTTGTCTTATCCCTCAATTTCATTACAAAACCTACAAGCATATTAATTTTATATATAAAGAGAAATATGAATTCTTATTATTAAATCATGTGACATCTTAGCAAAATCATCATGCATCATTCTATGAATTTAAATTTACATCATTACTTATGAGGAGAACTACACTCAATGAATGTCATATTGCGTGAAGGTATGTTGCCAGTGGATGGAGTTGACTTGTTCGTCTGAATTGTCAAGAAGGTGCACCTAACGGTTTAAGACGCTACGACAGCAGTACATGTCTGCCTTCTTTATTTTAATTTGCTAGTTTATATTTCATACTAAAAAGAGAAGAAATATTTGCCAGATTTTCTACTGTGCTTCGAAGTCCTTCCCATGGTTCAGAAAAGGTTTCTGGAATAGCTTAGCACTGCTGTAAGAAAGCTCTTGTTGCCATTTAAGTGTACAAGGGCATAGGGGTTTGAAAATAAAGGGCTTGCTTTTTGCCAGGAAATGGAATATTAAGCTGCTTTTGTAATTTTATACTCAGTTGAAAGTCTTCAACATTTTTAGAAAATCTTAATCCAGGCAGGAACAGATCATTAATCATCTTTGAGATTGTCATTACCTTAAATGGATTGTGCATAACCATACAGAACAACTTGGGAAGCAGCGTACTGCCGAAAATTTGAGCTTTACATTCAATAAGAAAATAGAGCCTGCTTTCACTTAAGAACATGTTCTTTGAGCGTAAATAGCAACAAGCTATAGAAAATCCCACCCATGCAAAGAACTTCCGTAAAACAAATTTTGAAAAAAAAAAGGCAATTACATGCAAACCATGCAATTCTTACGTATTTATACATCAAATAACTAGACTTCAATAATTATAAGCATAACACTCAAATCTTTAACATTACAACCAAAAATATCATATTACTATCTTTTTAAAAATGATCTTTTCGTGTAAAGGTTATGACACGAATGTATTATATAAATGTAAATATCAAACTGATTTTAGATATGTAAATACATAAGAATTGTGTGGTATGCAAGTAAATGTCAAAGAATACCTCCCTCCCTCCCTCCCCCCACCCCAACCAAAAATAAATAAATAAATAAATACATGGAATTTATTGCAGAATGTCCAAGCTTTTAATAGATCTAAGAACCGGTTAACATATCCAAAAAATAAGAGCACTGGCGCTGGTTTTCAGAGACTCACGGTTCAACCATACAAAACAACAAAGATAAATCTAAGCTTCCCATGCTCCATGTCTCAATATTGAAAGCACCGCCATGAATGTAAGAGAACACCTCAGAACGAGGCCAAGCAGGCGTATCCTGCTCAATTCCTCTAAACACCCTTTCAGACAGCTAAAATGGCAAAGGAGTCATTGCTCAAGGCGCTGGCATGGCAAGAAAACCTTTAGCTACCATCTTCTGCTCTGAAAAAGATCTCCACAGAGCTTATCAGCCAATTCAAACCTCTCAAAAACACTTCTGGCAACCACAGGTGCTTGTTCACTTCAACTTCAGATCACCATTCAAGTATATTTATTGAATCCTGCATTCAATGAGTATCAGATTCCATTTTCATCACCCAAAAAGAACAAAGATAAAGGTCAAAATTATCACATTTTTGCATACCCAGAAATAAAGAAAACCAACAGCACTTTTGTTCAAATGATCCTGAGCTACGATCTCTGTCTGAGAACATGAGCCAATCTGAAATTTCTTACACCTAAAGGACCGTGCATCGGTTAGCTGTAAAAATTAAAATGAACCTGGAAACCAAGCATCAAAACCTAAATGTTATTGAATAATTTATAAACAGAGCACTCAATTCGTATGTAGTTAATTATGTACACATAAAATTCAAGTTTTACATATATATTACTTTTCCTATGAATGAAAAGGTGTATTCACTTTTTAAAAGTTAAAAAAGTGGTATTTTTATGTGATATGAAACATTCGGGTGGTATAAATGTAAAAAAGTAAAGTTTACGTGCTATATATGTAAATACGTGGGACTGGCTGGTGTCTATGTAAATGCCCCAATTTTTTTAATAAGCTTAAATAGTTGATTGTAAAAAGCTCTTGAATGATGACAGAGATCAGAGAAAGAGTGGTTTGACTAAAGATTCAAATGATACAAAGGAAGAAAGCCTAATAAAGAGTGTATGGCCTGAGTAAATTGGCTGTCAAAAAAATCATATGCTTGCTTATCAATTCATAGAGAGTGAAACTTAGTGCATATCATCAAGCAAGCAAGCAAGCCAATGAAGTGTATGGCAAACTAGGAGGGATGATGAATGGGCATTTCTTTAAATTATTTAGAATTGCAAAAATTTACATGTGTGGAATTGAAGTTTTTAATTTGCAGGAAAACACATGTAAATTAAAGAAATTACAAAAGTAAAAAACTAATAAGAGTTAGAGGTTCGGCACCTGCTTAGGTTGACACAATTTTTAATAAAAATAACTGATGCTTTAAGAAAGCATAACAAATTCAATGTTAATTAAAAGTATGTCAACTAATCTATGATAGCACATCTAACAAAATCCAATGAATCCAATTGAATAGAAATGAAGTCTAATTTAAAATATAATATGATTTTTTATAAGAACTAATATTTTTTATTTATGTAAATTTAAAATATATTAAATATGCTTCAAAAAATCTAAAAATTTTTATATAGAAACAGCCACAACAAGAAGCCTTTATCTCACTAAGTGGTATTTGCCACATAAATCCTTTTTCTCCATTGTGTCCTATTGAGTGTCTTATTTTCATTTAATTCTAATAAACTAAGATCATGTTTTTATACAATATGCCGAGGTCTTTTTAGGTCTACCTCTACCTTTCTTAAATAGAAGTCAAATCTAAAATAACTACTCTCCTAATCGGATAATTAGATGGTCGACGTTTAATGTGACCAAATCATCTAAGATGACTATCTAATCTTGTCTGCCGCTGGAGCTGCACCAAACCTTTCACGGATATATTTGTTTCGTATTTTGCTCTAAGGGTGCATTTGTTTCAGCTGTCGTTGTATGAAATCTCAGTTCAAAAATTGTTGTGGAAAATCTGCAGTTTAATTACTAGTTTTTCAGAAGCAATTGTTTTTATTTGAAAAATTCAGTTTTGAAAGTTTGTTTTGAGGATAAAAATCTGAAACACCCTTTGCTCATATTTAACTATAAGAAAATGCATTTGATAGCAACAAAGGAGGAAGGTTTGGAGTAAATTATCAATAGACGTTATGTTGCAACATATTTTGCTTAGCTTCAGTAAAACAAACTTTTTTTTTATTTTACATTTGAAGTTCTACTTAAAGATTTATCAAAGATTCTTCATACTAGTTCTTAGTAGGTTTCCAGAGCATTACTCATGGTTATCATTTCCATACAAAACAAGGTAGGATATCAAATTTAAAAATATTTAGTGTACCTTCAAACAACTGGAATGCCAAGCTCAGTTTTTCTATTTTTTTTAAATTCCCCTAATTGTAATTGTTGTACAAAGAAACGTTGGACAGAATACTAGAAGCAAGAATGTAGTAAGCAACACGGAATATTTCAAACATGCAAATTCGGATGTTTGAATGCGGACACGAGAAGGAAGTCACGGTCGCTAGCAGGGTGAAATCTGCACCGCGGTTTTAACCAGGATCGGATTTGGTTCAAAAATCTAACCGAGAAGCGGAAAAAAATGCACCCCTAAGTATAAAGCCACTCATCCACCTAAGCATTCTCATCTCAAAACACTTAACTTAGTTTGTATACTTCTCTTTTATAGGCCAACATTCTGCACAATAAAACATTGCGTGTCTCACCACCACCTTATAAAGTTTTCCTTTAAGTCTAAGCCGCACTTTTCTACAACACAATTGGCCCCGATGCATTCCTCCACTTCAGCCAAACAACTTGAATTCTATTAATAACATCAGTCATCCAACTTGAATTCTATTAATAACATCCCCGTCTATATCACCACAACTCTGAACAAAAAACTCAAGATATCTAAAGCCTTCACTCCTTTTAATGATTTAATTACTCCTTGTTACAACTCCGCCACTAAATCTACTACTATTAAAATTACATAACATATATTCATTTTTAGATCTACTCAAATGACGATCATTAGACTCTACAATAAAACTCGATAATTAAAGTTTTCCTGAACTCTCTCTAGTCTTATCCACAAGAAGAATATCATAAGTGAAAAACATACACTAAGGTACATCTTCCTGTAAATGTACAGTAAGAGCATCCATAATAAAAGAAAAAAGACATGGACTTAATGTCGATCCTTGATGTAATCCAACTGAAATAGGAAAATACTTGGTCAATCCTCCATCTGTTCGAACACAAATAACAACTCTAGTATGCATTTCTTTAATGACTTAAATATAAATCATATCAACACCTTTCTTTTCTAGAACTCCCCAGAGAACTTCTCGTGGAACCTTATCATAATTTTTTTTCCTAAATTAACAAAAATCATTTGTAAATTCTCCTTGCTATGCACTTCTCCATCAAACCACTCAAGAATTTTTTTTATATAGAGACACAAATATGTTATTAAAAAAGTGAATCTCAGGCTATCATTTTATTGCAAACTCCATAAAGATGATAAATTATGTATACTACAAAACATGCACACATAGATTTAACTCATTTCATGAGATCTACCTTCGTTTATCGCCATCTAGAGATCAAATAATCCCTTAGGCTTTAAGAGGGTTGGGATATTAATTTAGTATTTCTTGTATTGATAATTTTAATATTTTAATATGCTTCATGCATAGCAATAAATATAATAAGCTAATGATTTTTAATAGTGTTAATTGAAATTAATAAGCTTATATTTTTAGAAATTTTTTTGAAAATATACTTTAGTATCCTTTATTAAATTTTAAAAAAAAAATAATTAACTCATGAAATTATATAAAGTAAATTAAGAGAATATAATGGGAATTTTGAAATAATCTTAATTTACTAATATTTATAAATAAATTAAAACAAATTTTATTAAATTAATAGGGCCTAATGGTAGTCCACATAGTATTTCAGTCTTTTTGGTACGAAATCATGCAGAACAAATAAGAGGAAAAACAATATTAGTAATTATTTATAAAAAACTTAATGAGAAAACCAAATTCGACGGATATTTTTACCAAATAAAGAAGTATTAATCAATTATATTAAAATAGTCAAATTGTTCTCTAAATTAGACTACAAATCAGGTATCTGACAAATTAAAATGCATTCTGATAGTCAAGAAGTTACTGCATTTAGCACACCACAATGACATTATCAGTGGAATGTAATATTTTTTTTGTTTAAAAAATGCTCGTCAAATATTTCAGCAAAGAATGGGTAATATTTTTAATGAATTATCACATTTTTGTCTTATATATGTAGATGATATTTTAATATTTAATCAAATCATTACTGAACATTTAAAACATTTAACTCGCCTCGCTCAAAAAGCCCAAAAATATAGTATAACAATATATAAAAAGAAAGCAGTCTTTCTAACCAACACTATCGAATTTTTAGGACTTTTAATAAATAAAAGTTCTATTGAATTACAAGAACACATATTAACAAAAATAGACAATTTTAAACAAATAAGTAATAAAAAAACTTAAACCGATTCTTAGGATGCGTAAATTACACTGCATCAATTTGTTAAAAATCTTTACTAACACGTGAATTATTCAGAAAATAAATATGAATGATGAAAATATAGATACTTATGATATAGTTAGTGAGATTGAAGAAAAATCTAATCTAGATATAACCAATTATCTGAAAATTTTTTATCTACAACTATGGAATTTATAATGTAAAATTGTTTTTGGCAATAACATTCTAAATGAATTAATTAAAATAAAAAAGTATCTCATTGGAGAAAATACCAGAAAATGAGTTACCATATTTATCCGAATTAAAGAAAATTAGAGATTTTGCAAGTCTCAGAATTACTACAGAAGAAAATAAAAAAAAAACTAAAGCTTCTTCAATTACTGAAAATGAAAAAACATCTTCTTCAACAACCTCTACATATGCAAAAGTATTACATGACACATCTACAAAAAAGATTACAGAAATAGCGCAGGAATGACAAAATTATCTTTTTTACGAAGAGATAGTTAATTCTCAGATTTATTTCCATACAACTGGAAAATATCAAGTTGCTTATATATATTGAAATACTGATGTAAAGCTTGTCTCAGAATTATACAAATGCGGATTAATCCATATGATATATTTAGATGATAATAATCTTCTAAAAAAATTACCAAAGATAATTATTGAAGCAGTGGATATTTTCCACTAAGTAGTCAAACATAGAAATTTATTTATCAAATTATATCAAACTCATTCTGCGATTATTTCCTTGATGCAAATTCAATTTAGCAGTAAATCTTACACCCTGAAATACAAACCTACAGAAAAATTATTTCAGAGATTAATAGCCGAAGACTTATACCAAATATGGATTAAAAAAAAGAAAATTGATCATTCAAATATCTGAGTATATTAGAGTTAAGAAAAATTATTCATATACAATCACTGTGAGAAGACTACTAAAAAGATTCATGAATTAATATATAAAAAGTGGATCTCCATTGTCAGCAAAAACAACTTAGCCGTCAGCAAAGAGACAAAAGAAGTATTCTGTCAGAAATTGCAGAAAGAGAAAATTCATAAATGTACGTATTGTCAGAAAAGAGATACTATACAAAGAATACGAGAAAAACTTGAAGCAATG